TTATCTTGTTGGATGCATATCATTGAGAAATAGTTTATCTTGTTGGATGCATATCATTGAGAAATAGTTTATCTTGTTGGATGCATATCATTGAGAAATAGTTTATCGTGTTGGATGCATATCATTGAGAAATAGTCTATCTTGTTGGATGCATATCATTGAGAAATAGTCTATCTTGTTGGATGCATATCATTGAGAAATAGTCTATCTTGTTGGATGCATAACATTGAGAAATAGTCTATCTTGTTGGATGCATATCATGAGAAATAGTCTATCTTGTTGGATGCATATCATTGAGAAATAGTCTATCTTGTTGGATGCATATCATTGAGAAATAGTCTATCTTGTTGGATGCAAGGCATAGAGAAATTGTCTATCTTGTTGGATGCATATCATTGAGAAATAATCTATCTTGGTGGATGCATATCATGAGAAATAGTCTATCTTGTTGGGTGCATATCATTGAGAAATAGTCTATCTTGTTGGATGGATATCATGAGAAATAGTCTATCTTGTTGGATGCAAGGCATAGAGAAATAGTCTATCTTGTTGGATGCATATCATTGAGAAATAGTCTATCTTGGTGGATGCATATCATTGAGAAATAGTCTATCTTCTTGGATGCATATCATTGAGAAATAGTCTATCTTGTTGGATGCATATCATTGAAAAATAGTCTATCTTGTTGGATGCATATCATAGAAAAAATAGTCTATCTTGGTGGATGCAAGGCATAGAGAAATAGTCTATCTTTGTGGATGCAAGGCATAGAGAAATAGTCTATCTTGTTGGATTCATATCATTGAGAAATAGTTTATCTTGGTGGATGCAAGGCATAGAGAAAAAGTCTATCTTGTTGGATGCATATCATAGAGAAATAGTCTATCTTGGTGGATGCATATCATTGAGAAATAGTTTATCTTGTTGGATGCATATCATTGAGAAATAGTCTATCTTGGTGGATGCATATCATTGAGAAATAGTCTATCTTGTTGAATGCATATCATTGAGAAATAGTTTATCTTGTTGGATGCATATCATTAAGAAATAGTCTATCTTGTTGGATGCATATCATTAAGAAATAGTCTATCTTGGTGGATTCATATCATTGAGAAATAGTCTATCTTGATGGATGCAAGGCATAGAGAAATAGTCTATCTTGTTGGATGCATATCATTGAGAAATAGTCTATCTTGTTGGATGCCTATCATTGAGAAATAGTTTATCTTGTTGGATGCATATCATTGAGAAATAGTCTATCTTGTTGGATGCATATCATTGAGAAATAGTTTATCTTGTTGGATGCATATCATAGAGAAATAGTCTATCTTGTTGGATGCATATCATAGAGAAATAGTCTATCTTGGTGGATGCAAGGCATATTGAAATAGTCTATCTTGTTGGATTCATATCATTGAGAAATAGTCTATCTCATTGGATGCATATCATTGAGAAATAGTCTATCTTGTTGGATGCATATCATTGAGAAATAGTCTATCTTGTTGGATGCATATCATTGAGAAATAGTCTATCTTGGTGGATGCAAGGCATAGAGAAATAGTCTATCTTGTTAGATGCATATCATTGAGAAATAGTTTATCTTGTTGGATGCAAGGCATAGAGAAATAGTTTATCTTGTTGGATGCAAGGCATTGAGAAATAGTCTATCTTGTTGGATGCATATCATTGAGAAATAGTCTATCTTGGTGGATGCATATCATTGAGAAATAGTCTATCTTGTTGGATGCATATCATTGAGAAATAGTCTATTTTGTTGGATGCATATCATTGAGAAATGGTTTATCTTGTTGGATGCAAGGCATAGAGAAATAGTCTATCTTGTTGGATGCAAGGCATAGAGAAATAGTCTATCTTGTTGGATGCAAGGCATTGAGAAATAGTTTATCTTGTTGGATGCATATCATTGAGAAATAGTCTATCTTGGTGGATGCAAGGCATTGAGAAATAGTTTATCTTGTTGGATGCATATCATTGAGAAATAGTTTATCTTGTTGGATGCATATCATTGAGAAATAGTTTATCTTGTTGGATGCATATCATTGAGAAATAGTTTATCTTGGTGGATGCAAGGCATAGAGAAATAGTCTATCTTGTTGGATGCATTCATTGAGAAATAGTTTATCTTATTGGATGCATATCATTGAGAAATAGTCTATCTTGTTGGATGCATAGAATTGAGAAATGGTTTATCTTTTTGGATGCATATCATTGAGAAATAGTCTATCTTGTTGGATGCACATCATTGAGAAATAGTTTATCTTGTTGGATGCAAGGCATAGAGAAATAGTCTATCTTGTTGGATGCATATCATTGAGAAATAGTTTATCGTGTTGGATGCATATCATTGAGAAATAGTTTATCTTGTTGGATGCATATCATTGAGAAATAGTTTATCTTGGTGGATGCAAGGCATAGAGAAATAGTCTATCTTGTTGGATGCATATCATTGAGAAATAGTTTATCTTGTTGGATGCATATCATTGAGAAATAGTCTATCTTGTTGGATGCATAGAATTGAGAAATGGTTTATCTTGTTGGATGCATAGAATTGAGAAATGGTTTATCTTTTTGGATGCATATCATTGAGAAATAGTCTATCTTGTTGGATGCATAACATTGAGAAATAGTCTATCTTGTTGGATGCATAACATTGAGAAATAGTCTATCTTGTTAGATGCACATCATTGAGAAATAGTTTATCTTGTTGGATGCAAGGCATAGAGAAATAGTCTATCTTGTTGGATGCATATCATTGAGAAATAGTTTATTTTTTTAGATGCATATCATTGAGAAATAGTGTATCTTGTTGGATGCATATCGTTGAGAAATAGTCTATCTTGTTGGATGCATATCATTGAGAAATAGTTTATCTTGTTGGATGCATATCATTGAGAAATAGTCTATCTTCTTGGATTCAAGGCATAGAGAAATAGTCTATCTTGTTGGATGCATATCATTGAGAAATAGTTTATCTTGTTGGATGCATATCATTGAGAAATAGTTTATCTTGTTGGATGCATATCATTGAGAAATAGTCTATCTTGTTGGATGCATATCATTGAGAAATAGTTTATCTTGTTGGATGCATATCATTGAGAAATAGTCTATCTTGTTGGATGCAGGGTATTGAGGAATAGTCTATCTTGGATGCTGGGCGCAGAGTTTAGATAGTCTCCTCTTTCCTTCGAACTGTACGATCTTAAAACGGACATAAGATACATGGTACCTATATTTTCGCAAATCTATACAATACAAATACATGTAATATACAAATACGGGTACCTATATTTTCACAAGCCTACCATGGCAGAAGCTATTCATTCCAGGGTTTTGAAAGAAAAAAAAAACGTATTTACCTTTTTTAATGACACCATCCGCCATCGTGTTTTTATGTGCTATCAACACTACTTCCGGTTTACTCTAATTCTGAAGGAAAATGCAATCACTACAAGGTTTCTTTGTATCACCATACACTATTACGTGTAATGAATATTCACCTTGCATTTAATTTTGACTTGTAGAAAGTCTACATTAAATAATGTATTAGATTGGTTATATCATGTTAAATCACGACTCGATTAAGTCAAAAGAAAAGAACGAACATGTCTATGCGAATACTTTTTTTGTCACGTAGCTTCTAAATTATTCTGGAATGCACAAAAGGTGAAAAAACTTTCCCGCTGTATTACCCTATTACTGGTAAACAATGCAAAGAAATTTATTCCCCGAGAAATCTTGTTGGATGCATATCATTGAGAAATAGTTTATCTTGTTGGATGCAAGGTATTGAGAAATAGTCTATCTTGTTGGATGCAAGGCATTGAGAATTAGTCTATCTTGGTGGATGCAAGGTATTGAGAAATAGTCTATCTTGTTGGATGCAAGGCATTGAGAAATGGTCTATCTTGGTGGATGCAAGGTATTGAGAAATAGTTTATCTTGGTGGATGCAAGGTATTGAGAAATAGTCTATCTTGGTGGATGCAAGGTATTGAGAAATAGTTTATCTTGGTGGATGCAAGGTATTGAGAAATAGTCTATCTTGTTGGATGCATATCATTGAGAAATAGTATATCTTGGTGGGCGCAAGGCATTGAGAAATAGTTTATCTTGGTGGATGCAAGGCACAAAGAAATAGAAAGTCTACATTAACTAATGTATCAGATTGGTTATATCATGTTAAATCACGACTCGATTAAGTCAAAAGATATATCAACTCTATAAGAGCCGAGCAAAGTGACCTTGTTACTATTACAAATACTGCATGGGTATGGGCGGGGTTTAAAATGTATTTGACAATTTGCAAAACATAAACACTAGAGGTTTCAATTGGTTGCTTTTTATGTGATTGTATGATCTGACTATCAAATACCGGCCACAATCTATGCTGAAGGTGTTTTATGTTAAGAATTCGCTTCAGGAAAAGCACTCTTACAGGTTATAGATTGAGGTAAGTTTAATGTTCCATTTTTCAGTCTTTGAAAAAACTGTTCATGTTTTTTGTCCACAAGTAGTTACTCAATTATCTCTGCACTGGAGTGTACGAAACGTGTAAATTCTTAAAGAACGCTTGATGCCTCAATACGACCAGGTTTGTCAACTCGGCACCTCATACATACAGACCAGTGAGCTCCAACCTTTGTCGTTTCATCGTATTTTACAGACGATCTTATGTGAATTGGATTATCAGCTTCAAATCAGAAATGATAGAGTATTCTAAACATGGTCGTCGTTTAAGTCAGTGACGTAGCAAGCATTTTATTGACGGGGGCCATTTTCATTTACGCAAAGTCATTCTATTACCATCTTCTCTACCTAAAGACATTCTTATTCACTGAAACCTATAATTAGACTTGAATCACTTCGAAATAAGATTTATGTCAGTCAGTGGTCCGCCACCCTGTTAGTTACAGGTTCTATCTTTTAAAAAAGATTGTTTTTATTGTAGTGAGTGGTGATTCGAGTTAACATTTTGACGATATGGCAGCGGCTGACAAAGGTAAGCAAATTGATGTTTTATCAGTGTCCCCGATACAAATAAGCTTTTTAGAAAACCTATTTACAATCCCTTTCAAGGGGGCCATGGTGCCTCAGTAAGTTAGACGCTAACCTGAAAGTCCAAGGTTCAATACCGGAATAAAGCGAGATTATACGCTTTATAACATGGCGGCACTGATGATACGGTGTATTGATTGATCTCTTGATACTCGCCGGTTAGTACGTGTAGCCTACAAAGTTGAAACAATATGACGCCCAAATCTACGAAGTAACACTTTTCCGTAAGAAATAATGAATACACAACCAATGCGTTGTCCCAATTTACCCGTAAAGAAAATGTGCGCCTGTCCGGTGGGGAGGAGCCACGTGATGATACTGAGGAGAACTTTACTGACATTGTATCAAACATTGGACAAGCTATGGATGTCCACGTTGATACAACATTCATAGTCGACGCTCACCGTCTTGGAAAGAAGTCCCCCGGTAAATGCAGGCAAATTAGTGTTCGCTTAGCCAATCGTGCTGCTAGACACAAGTTCATAGCCAATAGAAGAAAGCTGAAACAAAACGCAATAATGTGTTTATTTCTGACGATTTGACCCCGTTGCGATTTAAGTTATTCCAGATGGTCCGAAAAAATGATGATGTTAAATATGCCCACACACGGGATGGAAAGATCATATGTTTGACGCAAAATCGTACTAAGACCCTGATGATCTATTTAAGATTAGAGTTTATGAAGTTGATTACACTGCTCTCGACAGAACTGCAGGAATGCAGTGGAAGTGTACATGATGATTCGTGCAACTAAACCAACGACAACGATAGTGGACAGTCTACACAATCTGAAGATTCTTTTATTATTGAAAAATCTATTGACATATATAAAACAATAAACATACTGTGAATGACTCATTCAATAATGTGGAAATATTGTCCCTTAATGTCTATGGTCTAGTCTCAAAATTGTGTAACCCTGATATCATCCAGTTGATATCTTTGTATGATACAATATGTTTGTCAGAAACTAAGCTTGATCAATATGATGTTATTTATGTTGATGGTTTTACCCTGCTTCCTCTCGTCGTCAGGTAAGATTGTAAATCTAGATCTGGAGGTATGTGTTCTAGTTCGAGACTGCTTTTGTAAATATGTTAAGATAAATATTCCTATTAGTATTACTTGTCCTAGTCATTGTATTCTCTGGTTTACTGTTGATGACACGTTACTGTTTGAGAAAAACCTTTTTTGGAGTTTTTTATATACCACCAGAAAATAGCCATTATAGTAACATTGATATGTTTACAGAAATGGAAAATATCATTGTTGATACAAATTTGCAAGTTTGCTTGCTTGGTGATTTTAATGCACATATAAAAAATGCAAATGAATATGTTGATATTGATAATCACATATTAAATGTTTGTAATATGTCAAATGATGACCAAGTATTGATTAACAAATTGCATATTTTAGAAAACTGTAATGTTTCTACTGTTCGATTCTCACTAGATAATTATAAAATTGATAGATATGGTAAAAGATTATTACATTTATGTAAAAGTACACAGATCTTTTTTGTGAATGGTCGTTGTGGATCTGATCGTGGTATAGGTCTGTAATTGATTATGTGATTATTTCACCTGAATAATTCAGATCTGTTATTGATTTTAATTTTACTAGCATTTGATCCTATTCTCAGTGATGTTTATAATCCTGTATGCTTACATTTGTGTTCAAATGTTAGATCTAATTGTACTATTAGTGATACAGACAATAATGACTCTGATAATCACCTGTGAAGATAAATCTCGTGTACAACCAAAATGGTGCAGAGACCGGGCTGCAGTTTACACTGAACACCTTGACACAAACCGTGTTGATGAACTTCTAGTTGTACTGAGGTCAATTGACACTCAAAATACAGACCTTGTTTCAATATAGTTGAAAATTGTAATATTATTTTTAAGTATGCTGCTGAACATGCAAATATGTTTGTTAATTGTACTAGTATTGGTGAGAAAAAACGTAATAAAAAATATATTCATTGTAAGAAATATTTTAATAGTGAATGTTATGTAAAACGTAAAGCGTCCAAAAAATATCATTATAGAGTAGCTTTAATCATAAGAATATTGTTTGTAAAAGTAAAGAATACAAGAAAATGATAAAAAAAAAAATTAGTGAGTATAAAAAAGCGTACATCAGACACTAAATTATATTGGTACTTGTTAAGTGGTAACAAAGGTAGAGCTTGTCAGTAAAAAGTGGCTATTAACGTATTTTTTGACCATTTCAGGAATTTGAAGAATGATGAAAATGACGTAGATATTGTTTTGCCTGAAAATATTACTGAATATAATAATACTGTTATTGTCATTGAAAAATGATAAAGCTAGTAGTAAGGATATGATACTCAATGAGTTTCTTAAGCATGCAGATAATAGACTTTTACTCGTTTATGTGAACATTTTTAATATTGTTTTTGAAAGTGGTATAGTACTAGATACCCGGGCTAAGGGTTATATATATCCTATATTGAAAATTATTTACCAGTATACTAAATGATAGACTATTTAAGTACCTTGAAAGTTTAGGCTTGTTATGTGAAGAGCAAGCTGGATTTAGAAAGGGTTATGGTACTGTTGACCACATTTTCAGTTTGAAATGTCTCATTGATCTATACTTATTCAGAAGGAAAAAGTTATACTGTGCTTTTGTAGATTATTAGAAGGCGTTCGACTCGGTTAGTAGAGTGCTGCTATGGCAAAAAACTGTTACAAAATGGTATTGATGGCAAAATGCTTACTGCTGTACAGAATCTATATAAAACTGCTGAAGCTTGTGTCAGAGATGTTAATAATTTCTCAGAATATTTTGCTGTTTGATAATGATGATATTGAAGTTTATTTTATCAGCATTAAAATATAGCTAAGACCAATGATGTTATATTTTTAAAAAATAGGCAGTGTGAGAATACTCTGTTTATAGCTGTTTTAGAAGATCTTAAATATCTTTGTTTTCAAGAAAAGGTACATTTTCACAAAATAAAGCTAGACTTGTTCAACAGGCAAGGAAGGCAATGTTCTATGTATTGTGTAAAGCAAGACAACTTTGTATACCAATGGATATTTTTTACAATTATTTAATGCAATGGTTGCACCTCAATTGCTATATGGTGCTGACGTGTGGGGTTATAAAAAAATGATATTATTGAATCTTTGCATAAAGAATTTTGCAAGTATATTTTGAAGGTTAAAAAATGCACTCCAAATTGTATCGTTTATGGAGAACTTGGTAGAATACCCATGTCTAATTGTAATAAAGCCAGAATCGTTGGTTTTCTATATGGTAAAAAAGAGAAAATATCTCGCACACTATATGAAATGTTATATAGACTTGATGAAGACGATATGTATCGCTCTAAATGGTTGTCATGTATCAAACAAAAATTTTATTTGAGTGTGATAATAATCATTGTTGGAATGAACAGCTCTGGAAAGAAATTTTATTCTGTCACAAAGAGTAAAACAGTTTCTTCGTGGAAAGTTTGTTGAAGAGTGGAAAGCACAAATATATAATTCACTTAAATGTATTAACATTAGAATTTATAAGTCTGAATTTGGTCTTGAGAAGTATCTATCAGTTAGCTCCATGATTTAATGTATAATCTTATTAATTTTAAATGTGGAAGCCATAAGTTGCCAATTGATGCTGGTAGATTTTTCAGTATTGATAGATCTGAAAGTATTTGTGATTTGTGTGATAAGGAAGAACTAAGTGATGAGTTTCATTATGTTTAATTGTAACTTTTTTGGTATAGAAAGACATAAATTTATACCTGATCATATCTATAACAACAGAAACATTATTAGTCTGAGTTAACAGTGAAGATAAATAATTATGCTAAATTTGAAAATTGTCATGTCTGTATTTAAGTAACCGTATTTGCAATGTTCAAATGTTTGTTACATTTATATTTGTTATATTTATTGTGTTAAATTTATCGTACTATTATGCCTCATGTGAGGCCTTTAGTGAAATAAAAAAGTTTCAAAGTTTACACCTTCGGATTTTCCAACCAGATTTCCCCAGATCTGTGATGCAGGCAAGAGGGACTGACATGGAAAAGCGTCTAGTCTTTCAGATGGGACAATAAACTGAGGCCCCGTGTGCTACACACTGTTAAAGATCCCTCGTCAGTTGAAAATCGAAAAAGAGCAGGCTAGTGCCACTGTCCTGGCACAATTTTCCTCATTGTACCCTGCAGCCTTTCATTTTACAATCCCTTTCAAGTTCAAGCCCAAGCGAATCATAGCCTACGTATTCAACTGCATTAATTCTGTGGTGAAGATTCTGTTAGCCCATTCATTCAGCTGGTCGTAGTCGGAGATGCAAACCATTTCACGATCAACCACCTGTTGTATATAAATGACAATAACCAAGTTGATTTATTGATATATTTCAGAATATCGTATTGTAATAATCGGCAAGACTGGAACTGGTAAAAGTAGTCTGGGTAACAGTATATTGTCGTATAAAGATGACGAAAACCGCCCTTTTCCATCACAAACTTCAGCAAATTCTGTAACTAAAACGTGTCAAAGGGGCTTTGTGTCCTTAAAACACAAAAAAACAACGTTAATTGTCATCGACACTCCTGGGCTGTTTGACACAAATATAGCCAATGATGAAACCATCACCGAAATCGTTAAATGTGTTGCTTTAGCAGCTCCTGGTCCCAACTTGTTCTTATTTGTACTGAGTCTTAAACGGTTAACCAAAGAAGATATCGATTCAATTGAACTGTTAAAATCCACATTTGGTAAAGATGTCCTTAAATATGCGGCGGTAGTTTTTACTTGCAAGGATGAATTAGAGTATAAAGATATACAGGAGTACATTGAGGACAGTCAACAATTCCTGAAAGATTTGATATTTGATTGTGGTGGTCGGTATGCAGCTATTTGTACCAAAAAGTCGAGAACCAACAATTACAAAAAAGACGTAAAAGGCGTGCTTGATTTAATTACCCACACCATTGAAAGCCATAGTTACAAATTTTATACAGCAGAGATGTTCAAAGTCGCTGATACCATTTTAGAGAAAGAGGTTGAAACTCGATCAGAGAAGGAACCCGAGAGAATGAAGGAAGAGATAAAAGAAGAAGTTAAATCTGAAATTGAAAAGAAAGATTCTGGTTCAGAACAATCTGGGTTATGGCAAGCGTTGAATGCCGGAGTTAAAGCAGCTATTCCATGGGCAAAGTGGGCATGGGGAGCGGTAACAGGGTGGTAATAAGCAGCCTGCGAACCATAATCTTTAAAGTTTAACAGATTCATCATTATCTGCATGAGATGATATTTCATTTTGTCATATATTCGGTTATCTTAAGTAGAATTTTACGTCCACTTCAGCCATATTTATCAGTTTCAGAATGAAAAATGGTATAAAATAAAATAAAAATGTATTGCTAAGTACGTGTAGTTATTAAAACGACAGTCCTATAGGATTGGTAAAAGACAGCATTCGTAACAAGGGTTGAGATTCAGTGTATATAGAGCAAGGCGAAAATGGCCCAGCTTCCTTTTAAAGGGCTAGACCGTTTTTTTCAATGAGTTTTTGTGGCCTTGATCGTGAAATACATAATTCTTCATGCCAACACGTAGAGGAAGTCACCATTGATAAAATAATTCTAAAACGGTAACGTAAGTATTTCAAATCTCGAGGCCTCCATTTTATTGTTCTGGAAAATAGCGAACTCAATTTTGATTGGACCAATTGAATCAATCAGCGTTAATTACACATATATCCGACCGGAAGACGCGATATTTTCATTTTTCATTATTGTGATTTTGTGAATTTTGCTATAATGATAATAATCCATAATTTACGTGTAACAGCCGGAGAAGTACACAAACATTGCTAATTAGATATAGTTACACGCATAATTAGCGTAATTCTTCTTGAAAATAAATCCATCTAGACTTTTAACATGGAAGGCTCAAATTTGACGGTGGGCTGTTAACAGTATTACTAAATGGTGCTGTTTCTAGTACAAAATTGTATCCAAATCAGATTGTATAAATTCTTAAAATAATGATTACAAACACTCACACCAAGTTTCGTCAAAATCTTCTAATGTGTTTACAAGCTGAAAATTGAACGCGTTTTCAAGAACAAAGGAAATATTAAATATTTTTCGATTTTTCTAATTTTCGATAGGGATCATTCTTGGGTGATACCTTACATTCACACAAAGTTTCATCAAAATCTGTCAATAACTGAACCTACTAGAGAGTTTAGAAGCTAAAAATTGAACGCGTTTTCATGATAAGGGGAAATAACTCATACTAAATTGTTTTGATTTTTTTCTGATTTTCAATAGGGTTCATCCTTAGGTGATTACAAATAATCATTCGCCTAAATCAGTTAAGAATTGTGCCTTCTAGAGCGTTTACGAGCAATTGTGGACGGAGGAATGACGGACTTAAGTGAATACAATAGATTGAGTTGGATTGTTCAGATGTCGTCTTGTTCAAATGTCGTCATGGTCAGATGTCTTGTTCTGATGTCGGAATCCATACTCCTAGGTCGTAATCCATAGAGAATATCTATATGTTATTTAATTTCCTACGGATTGAATGTAGATTTTCACGTGTTAATTCGAATGAATTGGGGAGCCATTCATGTAAGATTTAACACGTAAAAATTCGTGGAACGCACAAAATCTACATTCACTACTTATACTTACATTCGGTAGTGTTCAGGAATCTATCTTGTCACAAAAGTACGAAAAATCACAAAAAACACCTGTCAATCAAATTTAAGCCCCGCCCCTACGTTGCTAGGCTGGCGATGAAAGTATGAATACACAACAACACAAATAAAATAGTGCAAGGTTGCTTGAATCATTTTTTTTCACAAACGAATGAAAAATCCTTTTGAAAGAACATCTATAAGAAAAACAAATAACTTAGATATTCAAGACATACTCGGAAACCGAGAGTTGTTCCATCGTCTTGTCTAATGGCACGAGACAATCAAATGTAAATAGCAGGCTAATTTGGTCAGAATTGATTTTGCGAAAAATTCCAATAATAAAACATTAAAATGATTATCTTCCATCAACTGAATAGTCTGTATCCTGCTTGTGTTTGGAAAAACAACCATGAAAATTAAAAGTTACAATATTTTCAACAGGAACTTCAGCTCGAGCTAGTTCTACCATGGATTCAGCATCTAATATCAGTAAATAGGTCGCAGTTCCTTCTTTACAGGCTAAGATAGGTACCAATACTACACCTGAAATTGAACAGTTTATAGTTTTACATACATTGTACTTTATTCTAATAAGATTCTTTAAAGCATTATTTGGCTAAAGAAAGAACTGGGCGTTTCAAACTAATCTACGTGTTTTGATGTAAATGAATTAAAAAAAAGTTTGATATATCTGTATTTCTTCTCATCCAAGATTTAATTAAAGATACCAATTCAGTTATTTCTATTATGTCTCATGCCCTATATCACATGTCCATCACATAGGAAGTGCACATGTCTATCACATAGGAATTGCACATGTCTATCACATAGGAAGTGCGAAGAAAACGTATGTAGCTGCTTGTACCTTACAATTTGTAAAATGTTCAGTTTAAGAAGGTTAAAAAGCTGTTGATGTTAACAACAATATATTTTTCAACCATCCCAATCAGTGTCTGTTTTAATTACAGGAAATACTATATGGACTATTGAAATGTAGGCAAGTATTCGTAGACATACAGGAAGCAAGATGTTGTAAATGCACAGGAATTCTTATCTTGATTGATTTTAGATTATCAAAATGTAGTCAAGTAGTCAAGTAGAATTACAGACATCACAGATATGTGTAAATAAAAAAAATGTTAAAGGTGTTCACTATGCACATGTAAAAAAACCTTTTGTAGCCATTTACAACCTGAAAGATATCAAAATATCAGTTCTTACTGTCTCTAAGTAAGTGTTCTCACTGAAATTTACAAAGTACGCCCATCCCAGATTGAAAACATACATACCTTCGTCCTCTTTAACAGCACCTGGTTTAGCCAGGAAGATGGGTTCACATGTCATGTGGGTGTTTTCAATTTCTTTAACCTTCAGTTCACCGGTCTGTACTTCCAGTTTTACAATCTAAAAACACACAAAATAGTTCAGGTAAATAGATAATACAAAATATTTTTTATCGACGTGCTATCTTCTACAACTGCAAAAAAAAAACAACTGGAGCAGGTCTTGGAGCTTATGATTTGTCCAAATTCTGGAAACCACCTACCCTGTAGTTAAGTGCGTGTCACTTGCGTAAACGCTCTGCATTAATTAAGTGTAATGGAATCTCTGGCCTGGCCTGGCCAGTGAGGTACAGAGGGAGCGGGATGATTTTTATAAGTTTGTATGCATTTAACAATAAGACCGACACCAATGTATTGTTCACTGATCTTCATAGGAAATAATTGTAAACAAGATTTAGGTCTCCTCTGGGTTTGGAAGTAATGTCCCAAATATCATCTACCAATTTAAACTTGAGGGTTAAAATTAAAGTGACCAACCTGGTTTTTAGATGAAAATATGGTGGCACCATAAACAAACTGATATTTTTTACCATTGAACTGGTCATAATTAATCTGAGGTAGCTCCATTGGTACACCCTCTACAAATTACAAACAAGATAATTTACAACCCTCTACAAATTACAAACAAGATAATTTACAACCCTCTACAAATTACAAACAACATAATTTACAACCCTCAACAAATTACAAACAAGATAATTTACAACCTTCTACAAATTACAAACAAGATAATTTACAACCCTCTACAAATTACAAACAAGATAATTTACAACCCTCTACAAATTACAAACAACATAATTTACAACCCTCTACAAATTACAAACAACATAATTTACAACCTTCTACAAATTACAAACAACATAATTTACAACCCTCTACAAATTACAAACAAGATAATTTACAACCCTCTACAAATTACAAACAACATAATTTACAACCCTCTACAAATTACAAACAAGATAATTTACAACCCTCTACAAATTACAAACAACATAATTTACAACCCTCTACAAATTACAAACAACATAATTTACAACCCTCTACAAATTACAAACAACAT